ACGAGGTAAGACATGTTGTTTAAGACATGCAGACAACACTCCTATATAGCAAAATGTCTTCAGTAGCAGTCCCGCTTCCATCGGATTTAGAAGCAACTGTAGCTAACCTAGTGTTGGTAGAACCACCGGGCAAAAAGAAGAAGGCAGAAGTGACCGAGTTTCAAAAAGGGTGGATTGTTGGTGCGCGAGCTTTTGGAGCTTCAAAACTCTGAGCGTTATGTAGAGATTTTGGAAGTCTATCTCCCACTTGTAAAGGAAGATATGGCAGCAGCCGGCATATCTACACTTGTATTCATGCAAGACAATTCCCCTATACATAACTCTTACTATAGTTTAGGTTGGTTACAAGATGAAGGATGGAACGTTGCAGATCACCCAGCTTGCTCACCAGATCTCAAGCCTATTGAGCATGTTTGGCGATATCTTAAGTGGATTTTGTGCCAAAGATTTGCAGATATTGCAACTTGTCGGGGAGGGCCAGCGACTGTCAAGAAAAGGTTGGCAGATTGCTTGTTAGAGGCTTGTAAAGAGATTCCGTCTACGTTACTTGATTCTTTAACAAGATCTAGTATGCCTCGCCGAGTGGCAGCTGTGATTAAGGCAGAGGGATGGTATACGAAATATTGAGATCGCTGGACCAGCAGGACCTTATAATGTATATATGTAGATTTAGCTAGACATGTCTTACCTGCATGACGTGGTTTCACATTGCTGCATATAAGCTGCATAAAATAGGGGTGCGCGGATACTTTCGCCGGGGTACTGTATATACATATGCAGTAATATGTGGCCTTTCCCAAATAGGAAGGTGGAAAAGACTTTTGTGATGTACCTCCGTATAGAGAACTAATAAATTCGCTACCAGTAGGAACATTACCCGCTACAAATTCAAGTATGTCTTCCGCTTCATTGCTAACCATGAAGTCTGGAAGCCCACGAATATATAGTTTATAGTCCTGACTTCCAGCTGGGGGTGAAATACCAGTCTGCTCAAATGATTTAATAATAGTCTGGCGTTTCTCATGATGTACCGGTAGCCACTCCCAAGCTTGTCCTACTGCATGAGGTATAGTAATGCGTCGAGCTCCAATACTATGTTCATAGTCTTTTCCAGCCTCTTGTGCCTTCGCTTGCATATCCTCAATAATACCATCCAGATAGCAGCCACTTTGTCCTTCAATAGCTTATTATCAAGGGGTAGTATATACGGTATCTTAGACGGAGCAGAGGTTGGTATATATTAGTGCATGTAGTTGCTTACTTTAGATCTTATTTGCCAGATAATGCTGCAGGCTAGTACAAGCCTAGTCTGGCCAGACTACATTATGTACATAGAACTTCCGTGCAGCTCCTTAGTCTGATTTTAGTGCCTCGTTAAAGTACAGTAAGAACGTCAACCAGACTAAGTAAGAACTTAAAAATGATTAGTTGGGTTGACTAACCACGCTGCAGTGGATTTTGACAGGCTTATGATAGTAAATAGAGACTAACATTTCTTATGCTGCATGGCAACCAATGACTGTCACTCACAAAAATCTTCCACCTCTCAGGGTTCGGCAAAAGGACGCTAACCCAATGACTGACAAGACTGACCTACCTAGTAGAAGGCGCTCCCGGCTTTGCTAGCACTCATACCATGAGAGATGGTTTGTGTATCAACCTGTTTCAAGGATATAAAACAATGGGGATTTCCCTGCTACAGTATTTACTGGAGGCTGATATACATACTGTGTTGTACATACATGCATAGAGAAAAAGGGCCAGTGTTCCCGTATACATAGCTTACTCGATAAAGGGATAAATTATTGTTGTGCATATGGCTTGCAGTTATGTCTACAACGGGTGAAAGAATCCTGGTTCCGCAGTTACATGCTGGCGAGGTACCTACTTACGTCATGTACCAATGTACAGTATGTGTCTACGGTTCATAGCATTACAGGTCGACTACAGTAATCTACCTACTATTAGTGCCTTAGTTGCGAATACAGGCAAGAAATCATCAAATGCGCAGTTAGTCTCGAAGACGCAAAGAGATTTCTAAGACCTCAAGGCAGATCTCCATCCCTAGGCCTGATCGGGTAGTGACTAGCGGAAGTTAATCTATCATGACCAAAATATTACCAATTTATCTGTTTCTCAGTATGCCAATATGCTAATCGAAATCGGGTTCTCCCGCAGCTGCATGCGGAAACGGAGGCTCACGGAAACGTAGTATACGCTACCACGGAACCCCTGGATGCATCACGGGACTGAACCACGGCCATTCAACTTCTTGAACAGCGCAACCTGATAATGAGGCAGTTGATATGATGTCCTCTGTTGATGGGGGGAATTATACATTCTCGAACTAAGTGAAATGTTTGATTTCTTCCATGTTCAGCCGTCAGGTTTTGTATATAAAGGTCCCTTCAGTGCCCTCCCATAAATCGACACAGCAATCAACAGGTTCACCTGCAACGAACTCAGCAATTGCTTTTCATACCCACTCTTCAGCGACTCTCTTGCCTTCAAGCTCTCCGCAAACAACTAGTATACTACCTACGACAAGATGAAGCTCAACTTCGCCGCTGTTTTCACCGTGGTGGTTTCGGTAGCCATGGCTGCTGAATCTAAGCTCAACCCTTCGGGTATGTATTTTTCGTGCCCTGTTATTGGAAAGCAACAAGATTTGGGACTTTTCATCTCAAAACATGGCAGTTACCGCTAATTATGCAAATTTTCCATAGGCTTTAAATACAATCGCCTCGACAAAGATAAGGCTGTTCTCTTGATCGTCGACCACCAGATTGGCCTCATGCACCTCGTTCGCGATCAGCACCCCGATGTGTTCAGACAGAACATCTTGGCTCACAGTGCCATTGCAACTGTATTTGACTTGCCAGTCGTTCTCACCACCTCTGCAGAAACTGGTGCGCCAAATTCCAATAAAATGGGAACATTGAAGATCGAAAAGAGCTGACATACAATCTCAGGCCCCAACGGACCACTTCCTGCTGAGATCATCGCTCAACACCCTAAGGCTCCCCTCATCCGTCGCAATGGTGAAGTCAATGCCTGGGACAACAAGGATTTCCGTGCGGCCGTTGCTGCTACTGGACGAACCCAAGTTATCATAGGAGGTATTGTGACCGACGTGTGCACTGCATTCCTCGCTCTGTCCCTCATTGAGGAAGGCTACGAAGTTTACGCCAACACCGAAGGATCTGGTACCATGGACCAGCGCCTTGCTGATGACGCCAATGATCGTATGCGCGCAGCCGGTGTTCAGACTATGGGTCTCTTTGCCATCACCCTTGAACTGATGAGGGACTGGCGCAACAAACCAGGTGCCGAGGAGCTTTTCCCATACTTTGACAAGTATATGACTCCCTTCAGCAATCTCGTGAGGGGGCACTATGCTGCACACCTCAATGGAACAGTTTTCCCAGGCGAGGACAAGTTGCCCTATTAAAAGGTGATATGGGGAGTGATGGGCACTATCGGTAGCTAATAAGAGTGTTTTGATGCTGTTTAAACGGGTACTCATAATATGGGGTCCTGAAGCCTCGGGCTATTTGTTTTATTTTACGCGCCAATTCCTTGTAAACTGCATGTATATATTGATTCTGCATGGCCGTTTAATATTCATATATGCTTGTTGAAGCTCAAATACATCTACTTACTTACAAGACTAGCTACAAGTAACGCAACTGGTGAGCGTGAGATTGATGGACAAAGCCGGGATGAAGTCAATTATGGCCCCTTTATTTACCAGCCTGGGGTCGTTTAGGTGCGTAATACGTTCCACTGGGGTCAATACATCCGTATATGTATATCTGTGTACCCGAGACCACTAGCTATAGATGACTTACCTAATAGGGTTCGCCGAGCAAGCGTGACTTGAAGGTGAACCAAAGCTAAAGGTGCGGGGTTAGAATTTTCCTCCTAAGAAGATTCAAAATCTTTTTCGAAGCACTAGCAGTTAAACAGTAGTCTCGTGGTTAAATATTTGAGGCTCATGCGCAGTGTCAAATATGTCGTGCCTAAAGTTGGAAATATCGGTTGCGCGTTCAGCAATTACCCTGAATCGACATGTCGTAGGTATACTACTATAACATATAACGAGAGTGTATTTTCTTTATTGCTGTAGTTTTCAGTGGTTCGTATATAAGAGCAGATTCAGTCTAGAAATATCCTCTTCTGTGCCTTCAAATATGGTAGAATATAATACTCTTTTAAGGCATGTAGGGTATGTATGGCTTGTGACTAGGTTTTGGGGGGCGACAAGAAGAGGTACCGTAGTAGAGTTAGGCCAGGTCTTTGATAGTTGATCGAGAGTATCTGAGTAGTTATAGCCGATCTTGTACTTGTCATTGGCACACAGAGAATCGAACGACTTCGGTCGCACATCCTCCAAAAAAAGAAAGTCAGCAAACATAATATATACCCTTATTTCCTACAATTCCTGTAGTCCATGTGCATCGAGCGAGCGCTATCTATGTAGAACCTCTAATTAAAGAGCAAGAGAAAGAAGTAAGTCTAGAAGAACATGCTCACATATTGTGAGAATCCTCGAACTTTTACTAACTAGCGTTGATAGCTCCCCCGAATTAGCCAGTGCTTAATACTTATATTAGTCGGTGGTCAGATTATAATTCGAACTACAAGCTGCGGATCCTACTGGGATAGCCGTATGTACACTGGTAGAAAATAATTCATATTGTTATAAGCTCTACATATACTTTACTGTAGCACCATGTAGATCAAGTCCAAAGCTTTTTATGTAGATCCACATAGCGTTCATAGAGACTTTTGTTGCAAGCGTATACTGCTGCATACTTAGTACCTCTGCGAGGGTAGTGCAACCAGACTAGTAGTATAGTGAGTATATAACTTATATAGGTAGACCATGGTCCTCATGCCATGATATACGTTATTGGTAGAGCGGAATGTACTAGTGGGAATTCTGAGTTTGAAATGGTTCATATATAGATAAATGGACTGCCGATCATCATGTGATAGCTCCCGTTGGTCTAGTGGTATGATTCTCGCTTAGGGATACACCCTGAGTACTCAGCTTGTCTGCGAGAGGTCCCGTGTTCGAACCACGGATGGAGCCATATGTTTTTGCAGTTTTATGCTCTTGGTTATTACTTGATGAGAGAATATGGTAGAGGCTAGCAATATATCGGATAGAACTAGAGTACTTACAGAGATTGTTTAGCTTATCTACTTATACAACTATTGACTACTTATACTAAATTCTATCAATATTACTAAACAAAAAAAAAGAGTTGAATAATCTAAAGTAGTATATAGTCTCATGCCAAGACCCTACTGCTAAGTTGTTCTGACGAACGCAGTGAGAAGTAGTATAGAATTTGTATGAAAAGACAAGATCTATAGTATCTCACCTTACTAAACTTATTTAGCATTTGGAAGCTCTTACAGTTTCTGAACTTCCTGGTGGAGGAAAGCCTAATCTTAATATCTTTGATGTTCGCTATCAACTGTGTTGTGTCATCTTGAGCAAGCTGTTACTCACACTATGCATGAGATTCGTGTTCAGCACTCTATTACTGATTGGTTTTCACCGGTTGAATCTTCATCTTAACGTCTATAGGTGTGGATTAAGTTCTACTGTTTTGTTCTGCAGCTATTCCGTTTCGTGGTTACGCTATTTTGTATTCTTTTCTATGCTATTGCGCTGTTTTGTGGCCTTACTATGTAGTTACCATTCCGTTATAGCAATTACATTTACCTGTAAAATAATCCCTGTAACAATCCTTGTAACCCCTTACCAGCCCATCTGGTACGGTATCCGGTATAGCAAGCAGATGCCTCACCTAAATGGTTAGAAAGGAAAATTTTGACTTGAGCCGTCCGGTATAGCAAGGTTTGAGTGTAGTACTGAACAGTATATTGTGGATCCCGTAGCAGCCTCGATGTTGCAATTGATATGTGCTCGCTAGTCTGGTTGCACAACCTCTCGGAGAGGTTGTGCAACCAGACCATGTGCTCGCAAAGTTCTCTCGAAACACATATATCTCTACGAGAGGCCGGTGCCCGCTAGACTAACGTTTATATTGATTTAAGATATATCGGTAGTTGCTAGTCTGGTTGGCACAACAGCCCCAATAACGGGCGGTAGTTGCGATGCCAACTAGCCGCGCGTCGGAAATTTTGGCCGGATATTGCATACAAGGTCCAGTAACACCCAGGACTTGGTCCGTATCTTTAAGCTTGCCCAGGAGCCTTTCGACTAGTAATAGTCCAGGGTAAAACTTGAGGACTGTTCTAAGAACCACGCATTCATGACAGTTTTTCCCAGTGTTAATCCATTGGTACACTACACAAGAAAGCTCCCACCATGGCAGAGGAAGGAAGATATGTTATATTAGTTTACATAGCTAAGCAACTCCAAGAGCACGTGATGTCTGCACCTCTGTGTGACAAACGTTCTACACCAATCAAATTCGGAACTCGGTACCGACTAACGACGTCATATACTAAGCACTCCTCGGCCTGCGTGCCAAATTCTAGTCTGGTTGGCACAAGCTACGAGAGGCTTGTGCCAACCAAACTAGCCAAATTCTATCGATAATATTTTTTTTTTTTTTTAAATCAATACTCGCATGCGGTATGACCATGGCGAGATAATATTTTGGTAACGTACTAGCGTCAGGTACGGGAGCTCACTTGCAGATAAGCTTGTTTCATTATCCTCGCTTAAGATCCGGCAGTTGTAACGTACATATGTACTGGCGTCAGAGTAAAGGATCACTTGCAGCTATCATTATCCTCGCTTAAGATCCGGCAGTTACAGTTGTAACGTACTGGCGTCAGGTACCTCGCCATGGGAACACCTATATGCGAGTACTGAATAAAAAAAAAAAAAAAAAAAGTACTGGCGTCAGAGTAAAGTATCACTTGCAGCTAAGCTTGTTTCATTATCCTTGTTTAAGATCCGGCAGTTACAGTTGAGTAAACTACTCAGTGGAGGTTATTGTAGCACCCCCAAGGATATACCACTACAAATTCACTTAGGATTTAGTGGAAGCTTGAATGCTCAGGTCAAAGTTTAGGAGAAATTTCAGGACGCCTGTTGATTGAGTGAATTTAACAACCAGTGATTTTTACCTAGCAACGATCGAGCCTTTCCCTTTACTTCACGTGCATAACGCACTAGCTGATTTAGTCACGGTTCATCGGGATTTTAAATCGCAGATATGAAACCGCGTACTAGGGTTAAGGGATGTCTTCCGATCTCGGGCGGCTTGGTGCCAGGGCCATGGAACGATGAACTCGCGTAGTGGGAACATCCCGTAGGAAATACAGCTTGATGATTGTGGGCATGGAAGGGTTCGGTACAGTGGTTTTCGATCTTGACCGGAGCTAGTACACTTCATGCAATTACACGTCTAGTTAATTAACATGAGGTTTATAAATATATAGCACTGCGGCAAAAGTGTTGGTAAGACAAGCCTAAAACAATGCCCTTCCCCATACAATCTTAGTGCTATCTTTGCGTTTTCAAAAGGCCTTTAATCTGTAAAGAACTGTAGCATTGTCAGTCATAGGCTCCAGGGCCTCCTACTGCAAAATTACGAGGCTATGAGCAGAAGTAATGGTTGCGTGAGAGAAGATTTGGTCGCTATAGTCTTAATGCTATGGTGAACTAGAGTATCTTTTGGGCGAGAGTACTTCCAACACCTAGCGAATTGTAGAAATATGGGTGAGAGACTATGCACTCCTTTTAACACTAAAACTGTTTGATAAACTCAGTTTTTGATATTTCTTCCATGAGGGTAACTTTGGGCTATTTTGGCTGTCTTTGCCTTCTCACCAAGACTTTTGTCGTGAAATTGTAGATATTGTAATGTAATAAGCCCCGGTTCCAGTAAATTACAGAAATCAACAATCAGCAAGGCCAGCCCATAGAATAAATTATAGCGGTATAACAGATCTTGCGAAGATTAGTCTCCATGCGGTTACTGCATCAAAATAGGGTCCTATTCAGGGAGTGAGCTTTACTTTTCCAAACAATGCAGGTACTTTAAACCTAATCAAGGGGATGCCTCAGAGGAGTGAACATGTACCCTTGAAGTTTTAGGTTTAATGACGAGGACCAAGTGTAGCACGAAGAGGACGCTGATTTCTATCATCATTTATATAGGACTTCCACCAAGGCTTTTAGAAGAAATTCAACAATCTCAACCACCGTCACTCATTGAAATTTCTGTCTTTACTTTATTTGAAATGCGCTCCTTCAGCACCACCTTGGTCAGCCTGCTCGTTGCTGCTGTGTCAGTCACTTCTTGTATTGCAGATGATGACTCAGAAAACACTAACTCGACGAGCACTTACTCCAATGAGTGGCATTCCCCATATACTCTAAGTGCCACTACTAGGACCACTGCTGGGACCATCGACGCTGGAACTACCACTGCTACCAAGACAATCAGTATTTCAGTTGTTGGTGGTGCTACACCCACCGCGCTGACCACCACCTTCCCAGCCTCTGCAGGGACTACCATCTACCCCACTGCCATTGTAGTCAGCGGATCCTTTGACGGAAAGATGATGAAATTTGACCGCGACCACAGGGTCTGCGCTGAGCAAGTCGAGAAGGGAAAGGCTGAAGCTATTTTCATCTTGAATGATGGTGCTACACTCAGCAATGTGATTATCGGGTCAAATCAAGCGGAGGGTGTTCACTGCAGGGGTAATTGTGTTTTGAACAACGTTTGGTGGTTAAATGTTTGTGAGGGTAAGCTATATCTTTCGATACTATTAAACATAGATATTTTCGATGCTAACATGGGTATAGACGCTGCTACTTTCCAAGCTCCCTCCGGTACCTCCTACATCAATGGCGGTGGAGCTATAAACGCTGCCGACAAAGTATTCCAACACAACGGTTTTGGTAAGGTCAGCATCAAGAACTTCTACGTCGACACCTACGGCAAACTCTACCGCTCCTGCGGAAACTGCCGCCGCAATGGTAAAGCAAGAGCTGTTATCATGGATAACATTTACGCCAAGAACGGAGATGTCCTTATTGGAATTAACACCAACTACGGGGACACTGCGAAGATCAGCAACTCTTGTGTATCAAACAACCGGGTGTGTGACTTGTTCAAGGGAACCGTCAGAGGTGAGCCAAGAAAGCTCAGCAGCGGGCCCGATAAAGTCCACTGTGTTGCGAACAACATCAAAACCTCCTGCTAAGCCGGGAAGGGGATGAGTATTTTATTTCTTGGAAATTTTCCTTTATGCACTATATTTCACGAAGTTCAATTTATATTGCAGGGCAATAAACCTTAAGAGGGGAGATGGGAGTTAGGGCAGTGCGCCCATCTGTATGCCCAAGCGGTGACGGGACTGGGACCGTAGCCACCTTTGCCCAACTGAACCATGGGATACACCGGTATCGATTTATTTGCATTGTTGTCCTTAATTGTCAAAGGTCCCAGCGACGAACATTACCTGTATATATATACCTGAGATCTAGCAAACTGTCCTTATCAGCCTCGGATTATATACATATATATAAACATGTTGCATGAAACACCGTGGACAAAACTTTCGACGGTGAATTCCAGTATGTGATCGATATATAGGGTCACCCCTAGCTATAGGTGGTAGTTAATATTACTGCGTGTTGTCCAAATTTCTGTATTTGGTCATATGTACTCCTTCAGGTAGTCGAGGTTTGCCCAGATAGGTGCCGAGGGTACTCAAGTTCTAAGCTCAAATACATACCGATTTAGGCGATACTACTATACTACTGTAGTATGTACTTTTAAAAATAAAAATAAAAAAAGCACATGACAGCTCTAGGACATGGTATGGCATATACAACTAACTGCCTACATAATTCAAATCAAGCGTGCAAGGTTCAGGGTTGGACCAAGCAACTATCATATCATAGGGCAAGTGGAACTTAATAACTGGTCACGGCGAACTGCATGTCACGGAAGTGGAACGGACTTTAACTCAAAATGAAGAGAATCTACCTCTTGATAGGTGGTTCATCGGTGATGATACCCCAAGAGGAAATTGGGGCCGATATTTATTTTAGAGTGGCGTTTCAAATTGAAGTTCGCGAACTTCTAA